ATCACACGCAAGTAAAATTTTGCTGAAGATCATTCGAAAGCAGCTGCAGCAGTATGTCGACAGGGAACTGCCAGAAATTCAAGCTAGATCAGAAGAGGATGTGAAACCAGGGATATCATTGCTGATGTCAGATGGATCCTGGCTGAAAGCAGAGAATACCAGAAAGATGTTTACCTGTGTTTTATTGACTATGCAAAGACAGTCAACTGTGTAGATCATAACAAATTATGGATAACATTGCGAAGAATGGGAATTCCAGAACACTTCATTGTGCTCATGAGGAACCTGTACACAGATCAAGAGCAATCGTTCAGACTGAACAAGGGGATACTGCATGATTTAAAGTCAGGAAAGGTGTGCGTTAGGGTTGTATCCTTTCACCATACTTATTCAATCTGTAGGCTGAGCAAATAAGCCAAGAAGCTGGACTCTATGAAGAAGAACGGGGCAGCAAGATTGGAGGAAGACTCATTAACAACCTGTGGTATGCACATGACACAACCTTGCTTCCTGACAGTGAAGAGGACCTGAAGCCCTTACTGATGAAGATCAAAGACCACAGCCTTCAGTGTGGATTACACCTGAACATAAAGCAAAAATCCTCACAACTTAACCAGTAAGCAACATCATGATAAACGGAGAAAACATTGAGGTGGTCAAGGATTTCATTTTACTTGGATCCGCCATCAACATCCATGAAAGCAGCAGTCAAGAAATTAAAAAGACGCATTGCATTGGGCAAATCTGCTACAAAACACCTCTTTAAAGTGTTGAAAAGCAAAGATGTCACCTTGAAGACTACGGTGCACCTCACCCAAGCCATAGTGTTTTCAATCGCCTCATACGCATGGGAAAGCTGGACAATGAATAAGGAAGATCGAAGAATTGACGCCTTTGAATTGCGGTGTTAGCAAAGGATATGAAATATACCACGGACTGCCAAAAGAACAAACAAATCTGTCTTGGAAGAAGTACGACCAGGATGCTCCTTAGAAGCAAGGATGGTGAGACTCCGTCTCACATACTTTGGACATGTTATCAGGAGGGACCAATCCCTGGAGAAGGACATCATGCTTGGTAAAATAGAGGGTCAGCGAAAAAGAGGATGACCCTCAACGAGATGGACTGACACAGTGGCTGCAACAATGGGCTCAAGTGTAACGATTGTGAGGATGGCACAGGACCGGGCAGTGTTTCCTTCTGTTGTACTAAGGTCGCTATGAGTCACAACCGACTCCAGGGCACCTAACAACAACAACGGTGGCGGGGGGGTGCCGGCCAGGGGCGACACCTGCGGGGTGGGCGGGGTTACCGGGCAGGGTTTACAGGGGCGGGACCTATAGAGGTGGATGTGGCCACAGACTAACCGGGGCGGGATTGCAGGGGTGGGCGGTATCTACCGGGGGTTAGCGAGGCAGCGATGTCGTCCTCCGAGAGCGGTGAGAGCACATAGAAGAGCAGGCGCCAGAGCGGGGGGGCCTGCGGGGACAAAGACGCGCGGTCAGCGGGGCCCGCTTCCCCGCGCCCCCCGGGCCCCGTTCCCGCCCAGTCACCGGCCCCGCGAGCCTCACCGCCTCCGGGAAGTCGAACTTGGCGCGACGGAAAGTCTCGGGGCTGGGCCCTGCGGACAGCGTCCGACTCAGAGCGGCGATGGCCTCGGGCAGGGCCCCAGCCCGGGTCCCGGCCACTTGGCCCACCCAACGCCGCCGCCGCCCCATGCAGCCTGCACAGGCCTCCTTCGGACTGCCCGCTGCCGCAGGCCGAGCCTCGGCGTCCGATTAGCGTGTTAGCCGGGACCCGGGTCCAATCACAATGCCGGCCGCGAACCAACGTCCAATCACCTCCGCAGGTTCCGCCTCTGCGGACCCCGCATCTGCCGCCCTGAGTCCAATCACGGCGCTGACCTGCCCCGTTGCCCAATCACCACCGCCGGTCTGATACTAGAGTCCAATCAATGCTGACGATCGTCGCGCCGGCCCGGCCTCTGAGGTCCCGCCTCCAATTGGCAGTTGGAGGCCGGCGCACTCCGGTGCTGTGGCGCTTCCGGGCGTCGGGCTGCGGGGATTTGGCCTAAGTGCTGCGGCCCTCCGCCTTCCGGCCGCATCCTCGCTTAGTCCCTGACATTCCCACCGGTTAGCGCCGCTCGCCCACGGGAGCCGCACCGCGAGCAGGGACAATGGGGACGCGCTCTGGGCGCCCTGGGCCGCAGAGGCCTGGCAGCCGGCCCGCCGGAGCCCCGTGCGCGACCCTCGGCCTCTACCAGCGGGGCGGGGCGGGGGGAGCAAGGCAGGGGCCGTCCGTCCGCCACGTGCCTCATCTGCACCGCCTATCCGGCGCAGAAGCCCGCCCCCATGTCCTCTCGGATGAGCGCGATCCCTTGGAAGAAGGCCGGAAACTTTCCAACCCCCCCAAGTCCACAGCCCCCCCCCCCGTAACCCTCCGATCCGCCTTGCACCCCTCCTGCCCCAGCCAGCGTTCCCCAGGCCTCCCTCTGTCCAGCACCCTCAGCCCCTTCTTCCTGCCATTTGGAAACAGTCTGGCCGACGTTTTTCAGAGCTAAACACAGATTTGCAGCGCCATTCCTAGGAACTTTTGTTAGTTGGCAGTGTGGTCGATTCCGACTCATGGCGACTCTTAGGAACCTACCCAAAATAAATGAAAACCTATGTTCACACAAAGACATCCACGCGGAGGTTCATAGCAGCTTTATTTATAGTAGCCAACACGGAGCAGCCCAAGCCCACGAGCTGATGGATGGGTAAACAAAATGCTCTATCCACACAATGGAATACTGTTCAGTAATGAAAACGAACACACTGCTGTACATGTTACAACGCTGATGAAGCTCAAGGACATTATCCTAAGTGAACGTGCTTGCCTAGGGAAACCGCTGGGAGCAAGAAGTGACCAGAAGGGCACCAAGGGGCTCTTGGAGGCGGCAATAATGTTTTAAACCTATTGTGATGTTTGCACAACTCAGCAAATTTCGTAAAATCACGGAATGTACGAGGGTGAGTTTTATGGTATGTAAATTATACCTCAGTAGGGCTGTAAGAAGACAGAGAAGATGGGGCAAGAGAGGAAGAAAGGAGACAAAGAAGGGGAAGGAGGAGGTGAAGAACAACGGGAAGAAGAAGAGAGGAAGGACAGAAAGTAAATACATCAGTCTTCCCTGGACAACACAAGCCTTCCACCCTCCCCAGCCAGGGCTGAGCCCACAAAAGTGCGTCATAGACTCCCAGTCCTCCTCAGTCTCCTGCTCCACCCTTCAGCCCTCCCTACAAACAACCTCCTTCTTCTATCAGCCCTTCCCTGGACCTCAAACCCGGTGTTTCCCGGGTCCCTGTGCCTCTGTGCATCCCCCACCTAGTGGGCTGTATGTCTCATAACCTCATACTAAATGGCCCGTGCACGGACACACACAACTGAACCCATGCTGCCCTCACCTCCTGAGCTGCTCTCCTCCCACCTGTGTGGCAGTCTGGCTGCCTGCCCCTTTTCCCCCCACCATCAGCCCTCCTTCCAGAGTCCACCTTCAGCTCAGGCCAGGACTGCCACCGGCATGCAGCCTGGCCCCGCCTTCGCTCCTCCACACTGCAGCCCAGAGGTCTTTCTGGCTGCCCTCCCACTAATGCTCTTACATAGCTCCCTGTTGCCGTGGGGGTACAGACCACAGGCCATATTCCTTACTCCTCCCGCTTTGGATCCTAATACAGTGGGATCCTTGAATCCTGTGAGCCCTTTCCCTCTCAGGACCTTGGCACCTACTGAGCTTTCAGCCTGGAATGCTCTCTACCCCGCCTGTGACCATGCTACTTCCAGTCTTCCTTCAGGTCTCAGCTCTCCGAGAGCTCATCCCGGTCCACCGCTTCCCTTCTGACTGAGCAAGGGAGAAGCAGCTGGTCTGCGGGGGATGCTTCTCCCAGCATGCTCAGGTCAGGCTTGCCTCCTGCACCTACCCACCCCCCCCCACCCTGCAGTGCCCGTTCTGGCCACCAGGTGTCACCTGAGTCCTAAAGCCCCCAGCCCCGTGTCCCACACCCATCATCCATCACCAAAAGCACTCAGCTCCCACATCTTGGAATCCCACAAATCACCCCCCACCCACCAAGAACATACACGTGTGCGCGCGCGCGCGCACACACACACACACACACACACACACACACACACACTGCCTGTCCAGCTCAGTCTCCCAGGACCCCCACCACAACCAGAGCCAAGACAGCAGCTCAGGTCCTGGGAGGGCTGGCTGCTGCTAGAGCAGGAGTCCCAGAGTCCCAGGAGGGGGCTCTGAGGGGTACCCAGTTAACACCTGCTGACTGGTTTGACATGGGAGTTTCCAGAAAGCCCCAATCCTTGAGGCACAGCCAGTGTCTCAAATCCCCTCTGGTAAGTTTCCGGGAGGGGCAGAGGGCAAGTGGGGGCAAATCGGGGGCAGCATGCCTGGGTGGACAGGGCCGGAGCCCTCTAGGCAGCCACTACCCGCCCCTGCAGAGATGGAGGCGGGGGCAGCAGGAAGTGGGAAAGGGGCAGGCAAGGAGTTCCCCACAGCAACTCTGAAAAGCGTGTCAAAAAGGGAACCAGCAAGAGCTGCAGCTGACTCACCCCTGTGGCCACCCTCCCCCCGCAGGCTGGGCCCTCCCCAGCCCACCTGCTCCCAGGCCTCCAACTCCTGGCCCACCCTGCAAAGCCTCGCCAGAACCGCTGAGGCAGGCTGGGTGTCACTGTGTGTATGAGGGTAAGAAGGCTTCAAGCCTGTGTAGGTGCTGGCCCCAGAAGTCTGTCCAGGTGGCCTGGCCTCTCTCCCACCCCTACCCATGGTGGGCCCCAGGGCGACGCCTCCTGCAGCAGGAGGAGTGGGTGCCGGAAGGGTCCAGGTCAGACCCCAGCTGAGCCTCCTGCCCATCCTGACACACTCATGTGTGCGCACGAACACACACGCACGCACACACAGCCACGGGCGTTCAGAGTGTTTGGAGTTTATTGAGGGTATGAGGGGCTACAGGGGAGCCGTGGGTACTGGGGGGCAAGGCCTGGCATCTGCCTGAAGGAGAAGCAGCGTGGTGGGTGGCTGGCCAGCAGGGAGTGGGGCCTGCACAGAGAGAAAGGAGAAGTGAGGGCTGAGCCCACCCAGCACCTTCCAGGCCTGAGGGCAGTCAGACTCAGGAAGGGGCGGCTAGGCTGGGCAGGTTGGTACCTGGGTTTACTTGAAAGTGTGGCTCTCAGCTCCACCTCTCCCAAAGCCTGCAGAGCAAACGTTGGGAGGTTAGAGGGATCCAGGGGCTGTGGGGGCTGGGAGCTGTAGGGGCTGGGTCAGAGGTTGTGGGGAGCATACCTTTGGGCCCAAACATGGCCGCATAGCAGGGGTGGTTGCAATAGGGTTTGCCCTCATGCTGCAGAGAGAAGGGTGATGAGGGAGGTGGTCACCCCATGCCCCTGCACCCCCCAGATCTCGGCATCAGCCCCTGCCTCACCTCAGCGTGGCCCCCAGAGGTCAGCGTCTTTCCACATTTCTCACACTTCAGGCAGGGCCGATGCCAGTCCTTCCCCAGGGATGTCACCCTCTCGGCTGCAGAGCACAGACCCCGCATGAGACACTGCTCATCACATGGCGCTTGCTCACACCCGGCCTCCCGGTTGCTCCCCGTCACCTCTGCCCAAAGCCTGCCTTCCACACGGGCATTCTCTCAGCCCGTCCCTGTGCACCGCCCCCCCCCCGCCGCCCCCAGTCCAGCCAGTCCAGACTAATAACCAGGGGGAGCTGGTACCGGGCCCTGGGCCCCAGATGGTCAGGTGACGTTGGAGGAAGAAGAGAGGGTGGGGAAGTGATAGGGGGACAGGGCAGGGGGTCTGGGACCAGGCTGTGCGGGTTTTCAACCCGTCTCAGCTGGAAGGCCCGTCCACGCGTTGGTGACGGGTGGAGCAGGCGGCGCAAGGCTCGAAGGGGTACTTCCCACTTTCTCCCACCCCTCCCCGTGGGTGGTGTCAGGGGCGGGCTCTGGCTGACCGCTCTCTAGGGCGCAAGGGCAGGGGGGCGGGCGCCCAGGATCCGAGCTCGCCTGTTTCGCGCCCCGGGCGCTGATTTCCGAGTCTGTTTCTACTTAGCGCCGGCTCTGCCGCCGCTCCTTCCTCCCCTCGAGGTCCCCGCCCAGGGCGCGCCGGGGGGAAGGGGGGAGAGAAAAGGCGGGACCCAGAGACGCTGGAGACAGAGACAGGGAGAGACACAGAGACTGGAGGAGACAGGGACCGGGGGAGACACATACACAGCGAGACAGAGACGGAGGAGACACGGAGACAGAGAGAAAGAGATGAGAGGGACAGAGACGGGCAGACCCAGAGACGGGCAGACCCAGAGGAGAGACGCAAAAACTGCAAGACACAGAGAGAGAGGCGGGGGAGAGACAGAGACCAGAAGAGACAGCAGGACCCAGAGACAGGGGGGAGACCCAGAGTCGAGGATACGCACAGAGCAAGGACAGAAAGAGACGAGGAGAGAGACAGGCCCCGAGAGACCCTAATCAGCCACCAGTGGGACACTCGACGCCGGCGCGTGGCTTTGGGGTAGGCGCGAAGGGGGTCTCAGCAGCACACCCAGGTGACCGCTGGCAGGGCTGAGGTCTCCGCTCCGCCGGCGGGCGGCCCAGGCGGGTACCCCCGCCCACCTGCGCTGCCCCAGCCCGGCGCCCGGCCGCGATACCGCGTGGGACCGCTCCTCCGCCCCAGGGGCCGCCTCACCGAAATACACCTCCTTGTTGCACTTGGGGCACTTGGGCATGGCGGCGCTGGGTCGGGTGCAGACAGCGGGGATGGCGGGGCCGGGCTGGGTCCGCGCCTTTCAGGGGCCCGTGCCCCCGCCCCCTTGTGACTCCGCCCCTCGTGCCCGCCGCTTGGCTCTGGGACTTGGACCCCGGGGACCTCGGATCCAGGCCGGCCGCCGGCAAAGGTCATCGGGTCCACCCCCGCCGCTGGCCAGGACGCTGGCCCGGGGGGCGGGAGCGGCAGGGTATCCGTGGGGACTCGGGGGGCGGGGCGGGACTCCTCCAGCAGGTCATGCCCGCCCCCTCTCAGGGCTCTGGAGTTACCAGGGTCCTAGATTGGGGGGGGGGGCGGAGAAAGGGGTTTCCTGGGAGCTGAATGGTGCACCGCCCCCGCCCGTCCCTCCGGCACCTGCTCAAGCCTCCAAATCCACCGGAGCCAGGGAGGGGACAGGCCGCCTCTACAATGCAACTAGATGAAAATTAGCGTGTGAGACTTTCTCCCCGCACACTTTGACCCCGCCCTCCTGCAGATACCCCGCACCTGCGAGGGGGAATCTCGCCCCCGGACCCCTCCCGCCTTCCAGCCCACACGGGGCCGGGCAGCCCGCCCCACCCCCACCCCGCGGGCCAGGCGGGCTCAGTGAGCCTCTCTCCCCGGGAAGTCCACTTGGACCGCAGCGGAACGTCCCTGGGGCATTCAGAAGGGGTAGTTTCAGCCAGGGGAGCCCCCTCCCTCCCGAGCCCCTCGACATGCGGGGGCCGGGGGACAGCCGTGCCTGGCGGCCTTGAAGATGGGAGGGGCGAGGTGTTAGCTTCGCCGGAAGTGCCCATGCTCAGCGGTAGCGGTCCAAGTCCGCCCGGAGCGGCAGGCGAGGCCGCCAGGCTCCTCCCCAGTGCCAGGCAGAGACTGCCTGACCCCGGCCCAGCCCCGCGGGGTCGCGACGTCCATTCCTCCCACCCTCCTCTCGGAAACCTGGAGGGTGACCTGCAGATCCACGCTGGAGAGGTACCTCGCGTCCTTCCCTTAGCCTGGCCCAGTTCGTAGTGGGATCCCGGCCTCCTTGCCACCCTGTCGGGAAATCCCTGACCCATGGCACTGCCCTCTGCCTAACCCTCCTGCCCACTTGATCACCGTCCACCAACAACACCTCTCCTTCCTCTGTGTGTGGCGGGGGAGGGGGTGCCGGCTGTCTCTGTAGATCTGTCACCTCCTTGCCCACGTGGTGCCCCCACAGCCGCATCTCCTTTCTTGGCCTCACCTAGCCTCCTAAGCTCCCAGCAGTACCTTGTCGACCCCCCACCCAGCAGCCCCTCCTTCCCTTCCTCCTGTTCAGTGTTCCTCCCCATCCACCTCCCATCTCCCCAGAACAAAACTTCTCTGGACACCATCCTCCAGCCAGGGTCCCAGGAACTCAGCCTTGACAGCCCCCTGCCCTGGCCACTGCTGGGACCCTGCACTCACCCACCCTGGCACAGGCGTTAAACGCTTTAGTGATGGCTGCCTACTGTCCCTGGAAAGCGGGGGTGAGGTCCTCTACCAACGGAACCCTCTGGCCTCTGGCATGAGGAAACCAGGCACCCACTGTCACATCTCGGCCTGCTGGCCTCTCTGCCTGGTGCAAGGCACTGCTGTGTGCTTTCTGGAGTTAAGGCCACCATCCCGACCCTCCCCACCCTCCAGCCCGTCCCTCAGCGTCGCCTTAGCTTGGGTTTGATGCTGCTGCTCCAACCAGGCCGGAACAAGAAAGGGCTCCTGCTTCCCTTGGCTCCTGGCTCCAGGGTCCAGGAGCGTCAGGAGGACAGGACAGAGAGGGAGGCAGGGCTGACAGATACAGCTGCTAGGGACAGAAATGTGGACAGAGGCAGGGAAAGAGGCAAAGGTCCCCAGGGGTGGCCAGAGACGGCTGAGCAGAGACAGGCCATTGTGCTGGAGGGGACCTAGAGAAGGCCAGGGCTCAGAGCCCCTAGACTGGGCGTGGGTGGGGGTGGGGTGGGGCCTGTCACAGCAGATCCCTTGGCTCAGGGCACACTGTTGCACACATAGAAGATGACAGCTAGGCCTGCCTGGCGTGTTGTGGGGTGGAAGCCCATGGGCACCAGGCTGGGGGGAGGGGTGCTCACAGGTGCACACGTTCTTCTGGGAGATGTCCATGCGCACGTGTCAGGTTCTGTGGATGAGATGGGTGTGCCTGTTGGCATATCTGTGTGTGTATCCAGGTGTGTCGTGTGGGGGGGGGGGTCGGTCTCTCTCGGAGGAGTTATCTGCCCATGTTTCTGTTTAACCAACACGCCTACCTGGCGACTCCCAGCCTGGCTGCTTTGTAGGACACTACTAGCTGGGCCAGAGGGGGCAGTGACCCGGTCCTTGTCCTTATCTCCACTGCCCCATCCCAGGGATGGCCCCATCCCCACACCCTAGACTCCAACCCCGCCCTGCCCAGTGGGGAGGCCCCCCTGAAAACAGGGGTGATGAGTCTCTTCCTGACTTTCCCCACTGTTATTTCCTGCTGCCGTGGTCACAGGTGGGGGAGGAAGATGCCAAGGGGGCAAGCTGTGGGGCCTTGCCCTCTGAGTTGGCACACACACGTGGTTCTTCCAGACACAGCTCACACACACTCACAGACACACATAGTCACACAGTCACAACACATTCAGACATACACACACTCCCTGGGGCACCTCCAAAACTTCACCACAGACTGCCTGCCCCTCAGCCCCCCTTTGGCCTGCACCCCCCGCCCAGTCTGCCTGTGGGGGCTGCGACCCTCCTCAGCTGCAGCCCCCCAGCTCCCCAGGGCTGTGGCTGATGAAGGGTTCTTTCCTCCACCCAGACTCCCTGCCCGGGCGACCCTCGGCCCATCTGGGGCTCACCTGAGGCTAGGGCCCCCATCCAGACACAAGGCGTCTGTCTCATCAGCTCTGGCCCAGGGGGTCATCCTGACTCAGGGCCACCTGGACCAGCTCAAGACCCACATCTGCCCTGCCCGCCCCCACCCCCACCCCCACCCCCAGGCTAGGTGCTGTTTGCATTTGCTGCCAGAATAAACGGGGCAGGGTGAGCTCCCTGACACGGCCCTCCTTCAGCCTGTGTCACAGCCACATGCTGGGCCATCCGGCACCTCGGCCCAGCCAGTCTTCTCCTCCCAACACTGGCCAGGTGGGGGATGGGGTGGTCAAAACACAGGCGCTGAGCTCTCACTGCTTGCCCCCGGCTGTCTCTGTTCTGAGAACATTCCACCCTCCACCAGGACAACGTGAGGGCACCCCAGGGCCTGAGACTTGGGGGGTGCATTCTGAGTGTACCCCACTGAGGCCTCCTCCACGTGCTCACCCCCCTGCAGGCCCCGTTGAATTCTGCCCATGGCCTGCTTGGACTGATGGCAGCAAGCAGGGGCCCTGCCCTGGAGGAGGAGTCCAGAGAGGGCCCATATGGCACATTTTGGTGAGGCATCCGGGACTGCCAAAGGCAGGACCTGGCCTACAGTGACCTCAGGGTGAACAGGTGTGGTGGAAGGAAGTTCTTTCACGCTGGGATGGTCTTGCTTCCCTGTACCCAGGTGCCCTACAAGACCAGCACACAGTCTGGGAAACTGTGTGGCGCCACAGCCGTACCCGGGCCCAGGCCTTCCAAAGCATACCACCCCCCCCCCACTAGGCCAGCCGAGTCAGGGACACTCAGACATTCCCAGGGCCTATTTTCAGCGTCTTATCTCCAGGGACCCCTGTCTGCCCAGAGGTCCTGCCCCGGGGTGGGCCTGCTGGGCCTGAGTAGGGGCGGGGGAGGGGAGCTGGAGGCTGCCCTTTCCCAAAAAGGCTTCCTGGCCTGGGCCCAGGTGGGAGGGCGGTGCCTTTCCTCCTCACCCGGAAGGAGTCAAATGATCACAAACGAACTAGAACTCCCCCAGCCAGCCCTCCCCCCAACCCTTACCTGCCTCCATCCTCCAACGGTAACAGAGGTGCCCCTCCCCCCCTCAAGGCTGGGCCTGGTGCGGGAATCTCAGAGTCCTGGAGCCAAAGTCCTGCCGAGCCACCTCCAGGTCCAGCCTTACTGGTCCTGCAGCTGGGCCGGTTATGGGCCTGGAGCCCCCCTCCCACACCACCCTTCTGGGACCTGGGAAAACGCCACCCACACCTGGCCACCCTGGCCCAGGGCCAGCCCTTGCCTGCGCCCAGCACCCCTCCCCCTCCTGCAGCCCAGGCTGGGGCCACTGGCACTTAGTGATTTCTTGGTACTTAGCCCCCCTTCTCCAGGCACAGATGAAGTTTGGGGGCCAGGCAGCTGTTACTGAACCCAGGAGTGGGCTGGACCCATGTCTCGCCAAGTCCTAAGGAAGTTCAGGGAAGCTAGCTTGGGCTGGGTGTGGTCTGTGGGGTCTGGGAGAGCCAGGAGCTAGTGGAAGCTGGGAGGGGTGGGAGGAGGAAAGGGGGAGCACCCGGGGTCGATGCCAAGGGTCACCGTCAGCGGGTGCTGTGGGGCTGGGGCCTGGGCAGGAAGATCTGGGTCCTCAAGGAAGTGGGGCAGAGGGAGGACAGACAGAGCAGGCCCTGCAGATGCCTGCTTGGGGCTCTAGCCAGGACCCTGCAGACCCAGGTCTGCTGGGGTTCGGTCAGGGCATCGGACAGTGAGGGAGGCCGCAGGGCCCTGTGAGTAGCTCAACTTAGCGGAGCCGGCTAGGGGTGCAGTTGGCAAAGGGCCTTGGGGGTCCCTAGACTTGGTTCCCATGGGCTCGGGGTGGTGGTGGTGGGGAGCGGTTTGATGGGCATTCTGGCTGGAGCCTCGAGGGTGGAAGAGAGGCCTAGAAGCCTCACAGGGAGGGGCAGTGAGGCTGGGGACACACCCAGGGACAAAGGCGGGCATTCCCACCGCCCTTCCATCTTGAAGGGGAGGTGGGGGGCGTTCAGGGCTGTGGACGCCGAAGGAAGCACCTGGCTCACAGCCTAGAGAGGAAGGGGTGTGTGGGGGATGTTCCTGGAGCTGGTGCCACTGAAGGAGCCCTGACTGTTGGGCGCCCGCCGCCCCCGCGGACGTAGCCCAGCGACACAAGGACACAAACACTCGTGGCGCCGGCCTGGTTTCCATGACAACCCACTGGAAACAAACAAGGCAGTGCGTCATCCTCCGCCCGCAGGAAACAGGGCGGGGCCCTCCCCTGGCTGACCTGAGGGCGCTGCTTTCCCTGACCAGCCCGGGGGCTGGGGGCTCATCCTCCCTGGAGGGAACCCCCCTCGACCCTCAGGACCCCTCGCCGGCCCAGGCAGGGTCTTCACACTCACAGATCGGCTGCCAGCCCCCGCCCAAGCTTTGGGAAGGGCACGCCGCCCACCACCATCTGCTTCATACATAGTTTCCGCTGGAGGCTCCCGAGGGAGTGGCCCCCAGCAGCCTCCTACCCCACCATCTCCACTCCCAGCGGACACAGGAATTTCCCACCCAACACTCGGAGCTGCAGTGAGGGCTGGGGATGGGGCAGTATGACCTCTCCCCAGAGTGACCCGCATCCAGGAAGCCTTGGCCAGGCTGGCCTGAGAGTGAAGAGAGGAGTCGCCCCAGCCTCTCCTTGAACACGCTCTGTGGGCCCCAATACTTGGCCCGACCTCTCCTCTGACTGGAGTGGGGACTGACCGCCCCTCCAGGGTCCCTGCTTCAGCTGTCCTCGCACCCCCACCCCCCAGACCACCCGTTCTGGCTGCATTCCCAGCCGCCAAGTAGGGCAGAGACGCTGCTGCCCAGGCCAAGAGCTGGGCTAGCAGAGGGCTGCCCAGGGGCGCAGAGCACTTGTGGGCCGGGGGAACAGGAATGAAACCCCAGACACTGACTGGGGCAAACGACACGGGCCTGAGAGGTGCCCAGGCCTGACACCCCTTGCAGGCAGGCCTGGGGCAGGCTGTCTCAGGGTATGCTGTAGGGTGCGGGAGCACAGAGCCAGAGGTGGGGGGTCCTAGACGGGGCCAGGGCAGGGGCTGAGCAGAAAGAGGGCGCCCTTCTGGACCAACGCATGCGTGTGGGGAAGGGCGCCCTCTGGTGGGAAGCCCAGGCATGGCCAAACAAAGGGAAAGCAGTCAGAAGGGCAAAAGCCGGTCACCCCAGGATGCCAGGATGCGTGCAGCTTCATTATCACTGCAAACCCAGACACTCGGACGATGGTCTGGTGGGAGCATCGGACAGGGAGGGATTCGGTTCCGAGGCCCCTGCCCCCAGATAGCCCTCACTGCCCCTGGGCTACCCC